TTCTCTTTTTAAATTACGATAGCCTGACTTCTCGTTTGCCAAAAACTGGAGAAACCGTCCATGGACATAAGTTTTTTATTGGCTTTGGAGGGAAAGGTGCCAACCAGTGTGTCCAGGCTGCTCGGCTTGGAGCAAAAACGTCCATGGTGTGCAAGGTAAGTATACAGTACAGTGGAGAGGGTTCTAGAGGCAAAACCTAGTTTTGAGATGTAAGTTCTTTTTTAAACTATTTTAAAGTGAACAATTCAGTGGCATTAGTACAGTCACAATGTTGTACAACCTCCCTTTCTGTCTAGTTCCAGAACACTTCCATCATTCCAAACTAAAACTCCTTACCCACTAAGCAGTTTCTCTCTATCTCCCCTCCCCTCAGCCCCTGGCAACCACCAATCTGCCTCCTGTCTCTATGGATGTATCTATTCTGGATATTTCCTATAAATGGAATCATATGATATGTGACATTTTGTGTCTGCCTTCTTTCACTTAGCATAATTTTTCAAGGTTCATCTACCTTATGTATCAGTACTTCATTCCTGTTGTGGCTGAATAATATTCCATTGTATACCCCACAATTTGTCTATCCATTTATCTGTGGATGGACTGTTTTCGCCTTCTGGCTATTGTGAACAGTGCTGCTATAAACAAGTACAAGTACATGCATGTTTAAGTACCTGTTTGAGTCTTTGGGAGGTTCATTGTTTTTAAAGATTTAAATAGGAGAGAGTAATCTTCCTTGTCCTTTACAATAGTTTCTACCTCGCTGAGTCCTCTGGGAAGTAGCAGTCCTCAAATAACTTAATGCTGCATTCCCTGAATGTAATGAGTTTATAACTGGAGTGTGAGAACCGAGGGGAATTCGCCTACTCCAGTGGGTTTCTGTAGTCCAGCTTCTAAACAATAGCATGAACCACCCTGGTTTGTTTTTGTTTTTTTTTTAAGCAGGTTTCACTCCAACAACACAGCTTTTGAATACTTGCTCTAACAACTGATGATTTACACAGCTCTAAGTTATTTTCTTCTACTGCTGTATCTTGGATCAGAAAAGAATCTGGGCCTTAATGAGCCACATATAACTGATCTTTAGGCATAGTTCTGTTTCCAGGTTTATAAAGAAAGGACATGTAAAATACACTAATCCTATTTCTATCCACTCTACTGAAATTATTTGAAAATAAACTGGCTGCCAAGGTTCAACTTTGGCATCTTTAATGAAATTTTAAGATGCTAGCATTACTAGTATAACAGGAAAGATAATTTGTTTTTGGAAAGCTAGCCAGGGTCTGTACAGTAGAGGAGAAGAAAAATATGAGAAATTTAGAAGACTGATCTCTCTCCTGTGAGCTGGGTAATTTCACCAGAATTTCTCTGAAATGTCACTTCCCCTTGCATACAGCACTTTTCTCTCCACAGGAGTCTTTAAATGATGTATAAACTATACAATTATCACTTCATCTGCTAAGAACTGTATCTTTGTGATTGATGATAATTCTCATCTGGCTATTTGGTCAAAAACATCACATGAAGCACAAGATTCAAATTAAGAAACCTTCATTTGCTAAGGTTGAGCTCTTAATAGATTTAAAATTTCAATTAATTACCAATTAATTATTGATGATTTATTATGTGCAAGGAATTATGGAGCTGGGAGAGGGAGCTGATTAAAAGTGTTAGGCCTGACCCATCTTATACTTGATACAAAATGAGGGTTTGGGAACAATCAGATGGTGCAGGGGGCTTGGGAACTGGAAAGAAGATGGTATCATTTCCGAGCTGGAAAACCTGGACAGAGAAGTGGTATTGGAAGCAAGGTACCAAAAATGGGTGCCTTGGAGAGAGAGGAGTTCCCTAGAGCTGGAGATGAGAAAGGAGAGGTGAGATAGCCCCCTCTTGGAAGCTTTATGAAAGCTATTCCTGTAGCCATTAAAGTAAAAAATGAATGTCCCCTGGGATCTCATCCAATGCGAAGAGTTTGAGATTGGTTTTATTTTAGGTCTGTTGAATTTGTGGCAAAGAGAGAAACACCAAATAGAAATATTTGAATTGTGGAACTAACTTGGGAAATGAATCACGAAACCAGAGGAGTGGATGTGAGAGGAATAGAAGGCAGAAGGCTGTATTTGGGGAATATTTCAGTAGGAGGTTTATTAAACAAAGGTGCTGTTTGTTTTATTCTGGTCTGTGTATGATGGTTTACGTGAGCACCTGTACAATTTTGAAAGTTCTTTATTTCTACTGGGCCTGATCTAGTCGTCTGCTGTTCAGCCCCACAGTGGAATTTAGCCTGGGTGTACAGAGAGGATATGGAAACATGGCTTCAGCTAAAACCTATACAGGGTTACTTTGTTTAGATACCTGGGGCCTTTAGACGTGGATTTTTTTAAGCTTAAACAAATTGCATAATATTCTTAACACTTCTTAAAAAGAAAAATAAGATATCTTTTATAAAAGAAGTTATTGTTATCTATTATAATATTTCATTCAATTGTGAGGTATATTTTTATTAAGCAAGTTGGCCAAACTGCCTTATAGCAGTTTTTTTTTAAGATGACAAATTACAAGTAGAAACCAAAATCATGAAATTAACTAAAGATAAAAAATAAACAGATGGAGCAAAAGAAAAATAGGTAGAAAATCTCATGTGGTTTTCTTAGCAACATTAACTTACCTACTACTGCTCTGCAACCAGCTAAAATTCAACCTCCTATGAAGGAACACTGATGGCACATGCACAACTTCTGATATTGAGCTTAAGGAGAAATATTTGTCAGGATAGTGTGACAAAGACTATTAAGCAAGAGTCCATTCAAGATGCATACAGTGAAACATGTATAATGAAACACTTCAAGTAGTTACGAGTTGTGTAGGCCAGTACTCAACTGAGTTAGAGGCCAAGGCCACGGTCCAGGGATCATTGGAGATGATATTTTGAGATTAAAAATTCAAGCAGACATAGAAAAGGAGAATCTTCTTGGCCAGGCAAAAAGCCTGTTAGGACACCTTTCATAGGACCTCCTCCTCCATTCCACTGAGACCAAATGTTAGAGAGAAGGAACTTATTTCTAAACATCAAAAACTGGCAGCTCAGGAGGACGGTGACAGAATAAAGAGCTCAAGATGCAGTGGCCCAGCATGAGCGCAGAGCCCTTGCTTCCTGTGCGGGTGGAAGGAAGCCACAAGTAGGCATGGACCCTAATGACCCACACCGGAAATCAGCAAACTGGGAGGACCTTCAAGAAATTACCTGGTCTTGCCTCCTTCAAAAATGAGATAGTCTAAACTCTCTAATGTAATCTATCATCTGGTTTCTTTTTTTTTTTTTTTTAAGGTGAAGTGTAGCATCATCTGCTTCCTGTTCAGAATGGTCGGGTGTAAAGTTCTGTGACAGAGGCAGTATGATAGAGCAGTGCTACTCACAATCCGGTCCTCAGGCCAGGCTGCCACTGGTCAGGACAGTATAGAAACTGAGAAACAAAACCCTGAGCCTTTATCATAAATAGCTTGAAAAGCAGTGTATTCAAGCACCCATCATGTTAACCATAACCATCATGTTAACCTTCTGTGTTAGATTACTGTCAACATCCACTGATCGTGCCTTGAGATGCTAATTTTCACAGATCAAAAATTAGTCACCAGGCAATATATAATGAAGTGAAATCTGTCTTTTCCTGAACTCTGTTGACAGATGACTGGCTAAAACTAGTTGGCTATATTGATAGGAATGCTTGGTCACTTAAGGTTCCAAATACAGGGATCCTGTGACCCTAACCAAATAAATAAATATGCCTCATATAGGAAGAATGGAAGAAATAATTGGATTACCACAAACCCACCATTATTCTCAGATAAACAGGCCTGATAATGGTGACTGAAATATTAACTTTGTATAGTAAAGGCCATCATTAAAGTAAACACCCATTTATCTAGGATTTAAACAACCAGCCAGCATAAACAACTGGAATTTTATGTATTCTTCTCTCATCTTTTATGATAATGCCACAAATGACAAGTTATGAAGTCACTATGAGAATTTCTTCAAAAAAGCAACTGCTGGGTTTTGTTATATGGCAACAAATGCAGCTTAGTCTCCTGAGTTTTTTTCATGCTGACCCTCAGGGACGGGAAAGTCACAAAATGCCTTGAGTCACAAAGATTAAATTATGTTCAGCTTAGTTTTGGTGTTAATTATATCTTTATGTGTCCTAACTTTGAAAATCAGTAACCTGTTTTAATATATGTGTTAATTCTTTTTTTTTTAGCAGAATGTTCAATTTCATGTGACCTTGGGTATGGTACCTTGGTCCTCGATTTCATTTACCTCAAATATATGTTGATGGGTGGAACTACTAGATGTTTTCTGCCATTCGAGGATTCCAAGCAACCCCTTCCTCAACCAGTTTGAAATATCACGTTTATCACACAGTGCTAACGAAAGTTACTCTCCTCAGCACTGGTCATAATTCCAGACTGTGGAAGCCACTGACTGCCTCTCCCTCAATGCAGAGAGATCCTTCCCCATGGTCAGAGTGAAGGAAGCACCTCAGTCCCCTTGGCTGGAGGAAATCCTCTTGCTCCTGATAAACTCGGCCCGTTTGTTTTCCCTGATCCTAATTCACATCCCTCCACAGCTGCACTGTCCAATACACTAGCCATTAGCCACATGTGACTATTTAGATTTAGCTAAAGTAAAATAAAAAATTGAGTTCCTCAATCATACTTGCTGCATTACAAGTGTCTGTATTGGGCAGCACAGATATAGACCATTTCATTATTGCAGAAAATTCCATTCAACAGTGCTGCTCTACAATATTCAGGGTAGAGCTGAGCCCAGAATTTCCCGAAGAGCATGTGAGGTTCTGTAAGTTGCCTCAGCTTACGTGCAAGTTGTTGATAGCTGCTGGTGACCTGGCTTCTTTCACCCAGAACAGGCTGACACGAACAGGCTACCTCAGACTAAGTCATTTTCCCAGAATCTTTCTGCCCAAAAGTATTTCACTGCTGCAGCCGAAAGAATGTGAGAGTGCCTTCAAGAGGGCTGTTAGAAGCAAAATCTTGGGTAGAAACTTTCTGGAGCCATAACTAGAATAGTCTGTCTGCCTATAAGTCATGTCCCTTTAAGAATGATAAGCTAGGCCCGAGGAAAATGAACAGACATGCA